GGACACAATCACAACATGACCGGGACACAATCACATGAAACATGACCGGGACACCATCACAACATGACCGGGACACCATCAAAACATGACCGGGACACCATCAAAACAGGACCGGGACACCATCACAACATGACTGGGACACAATCAAAACATGATCGGGACACCATCACAACATGACCGCGCCATCACATGATCGGGACACCATCAAAACCTGACCAGGACACCGTCACAACACTGACCGGGACAACAACCGTAACTGCCCACCTCTGTCCGCCCTGTCTATCCACCATGACACGCCGCGCTTACACCAGCAGGCTTTCCTTCCCACAATGGCACGGACTCACGCAAACGCACTTGCCACCGAGGTCATGCAACACCGCATGGCACAGCGACATCACCTTTCGAAAGCTTTAGCTGTTAGTCTCCTGAATAATCGCTATTCTAATGAAGGTTTTTGTAGGGGAAAAGGAAGACCCTTCGATCTGGAGGTTTTTTGCATTTTTGATACGAGTTTAATAAAGGGTTTTATATAAAATTTTCCTGGCTTAGGGGGGGGGCGTGTTTTTTAATAGGTGGACCGGATTAATAAGAACCCCATAGCTGTCACTATCTGGCGAAAAAAATCCTCCCCACCAGGCACACAGCCAGCGCCCAGCACCGGCATCCGGCACCCTGTCTCCACCACGCGCACAGCCAGCGCTCAGCACCGGCATCCGGCACCCTGTCTCCACCACGCGCACGGCCAGCTGACAGCACCGACACCCTGTCTCCACCACGTGCACACCCGGCACCCGGCAGGCACCCGGCAAGCACCAGCAACCTGTCTCCACCGCGTGCGCAGCCAGCCCACAGCACCGGCACCCGGCACCCAGCACCGGCGCCCGGCACCCAGCACCAGCACCAGCAATTTGTCTCCACCACATGCGCAGCCAGCTCACAGCACCAGCCCACCCAGCACCCGGCACCCGGCACCAGCACCAGCAACCTGTCTCCACCACGTGCACAGCCAGCCCACGGCACCAGCACCGGCACCCGGCACCCAGCACCAGCAACCTGTCTCCACCACGTGCACAGCCAGCTCACAGCACCAGCACCGGCAACAGCAACCTGTCTCCACCGCGTGCACAGCCAGCTCACAGCATCAGCACCGGCACCCAGCACCAGCAACCTGTCTCGAAAGCCCGCGCGGGCAACTCATTTTTATTTGAAGTAAGAACCCCATAGCTTCGCGATCTGGTGAAAAACAAGCTCCCTCTAGAACCCCTGCCACTTGGAGAGTTCTTTCTTGCTCTTCTAGAAAAGGGTCTTACCCAACATGAAAGGAAGAGAGGCGCGTTTATCATTTTATAATGACCATGGTGGACGCAGGGGCTGTGGCCCACAGGTGGCCACCACAAGAACTCACTGTCCAACCATATTGTAAAATCAAATCAGTTCAACCTTGAAATTGACCCTCACGCGTTAAAGACTCAACCTCAACCTTGGATGTTTCTCGAGTGTTTGTCCAAATTGCGGAATCATTTTCATGAGGAAAATAGTTTCAGCGCTCAAACCGCTGAGCTGAACCATTTTGTAAAGAACAGATCCTCAGCACGGCAAAGGTTGAGGTAGTGCAGCAACCTCCTGGCAGAGGTTGGTTAAGCCATGTATATGCCATCTATCTATATGCCAATGCGGTTGCATGTGGATCCTTTCCAAAGAGCATCTGGCTCTTAAGTGTGCTTGTTTAACAATCACCATTGACCCACCCAATCACCCTAGAGAGTGAATAGAATATATGTGGAGATTCACTCTCTGCAGCTCCCGGCCGCTTTGCTTCTTTCTTGCTCAAGCGGATGCTGCGTTCAAATCACCCCAACACAGACCTTGGAAGCTTGGCTGCAAATCAACGGAACATATCAGGATTATCAGAGCTATGCTCTGTAAATCACGTCAGTGGTTTTTCAACCACTTCTGGACCTCCTTGCTCTCAGGCGGACCATACTTCGATGCCCACCTGGAACAACAAAGAATTAAGTGAGTCTATTTAACTTTAAACACT